CACAACAAGAAGATTGCTGGTTCGAGCCTCAGCTGGGTGAGTTGGCAATTCTGTGTGGAGTTTGTATGTTCTCCCTGTGTTTGCGTGGATTTCCTCTGGGTGCTTCGGTTTACCCCACAAGTCCAAAGACATGCGGTATAGGTGAATTGGGTAGGCTAAATTTTCTATATTGTATGTGTGTGAATGGAAGTGTGTGGGTGTTTCCCAGTGATGGGTTGCAGCTGCGTAAAACATATTCTGGATAAGTTGGCAGTTCATTCCGATGTGGCGACCCCCGATTAATAAAGGGACTAAGCCGAAAAGAAAATGAATAAATTAATGAATAAATGAACTTAATTAATCAATTAACTTTATGACATTGACAAGGTAACCTTACCAACAGTGTGATAAGCATCATGTGTCAAACATGATAGGACTTCACAGCTAGTCAAGATATCAGAAATTCAACTGTAAAATATAATTACCTTGTTTAATTATTGAATTAATTTAATGGTTACATTGTGTGAGAATATTATGTATTTACCAAATTGCTATGCACATTCATATTTTATGTGCATACTCATGTATGGCTCATTAGCAGCTGATTCTATGGGTTGTTATACACAGTCGCCATATTGGAAAGGTCAAATCTGGTCCGTCAATGTTGGAAAGCAAGATGTATCTGTGAAAGGTTTTCCAATTTCTTTATGAATTTATAAATTAATAAAATTAATTAAATAATTATCTTACCTTTTTTATAACCAGGCTTAATGTTTTGGCATCTTCGAAAACTCATTCCTTTTTACACTGAATGACGACATGTTGACCATTCTAAGATTGCAATGTCTTGATTGACCTAATATGGCATCTATGTATACATGTATCATACACAAGTACTTGACGTGTTGATCTTATTGCTTTTTTGTGCATGCTCTTGATGTTTCTTTTTAACTTGTCTAGTAATACCCTAGTATGTGAGGGTTGTTAGGTGAAATGAAGAGCTTGAAAGATTTTGTAATATAAATTAAAAGAAAAAAAATTAATAGAAACATGTCAAATGTTGATTTCCTTATGTCTGTCTGTCTACTCTATCTATCTATCTATCTATCTATCTATCTATCTATCTATCTATCTATCTATCTATCTATCTATCTATCTATCTATCTATCTATCTATCTATCTATCTATCTATCTCTTTGTCTGTCTGTCTGTCTGTCCATCCGTCCGTCCGTCTATCTACACTCAAAAAAATAATAATATTTTAAACTTGTTCAAAGTACTTATTTAAAATGAGCTGAATCAACACAATTCTTGAGATTTCTTCGGGACAACATTCATTTTTTAATGTTTAATCCACATACATTTGTTAAAAGTGTTAAGTTAAATTAATAGATTTGTGTTGGGGCAACATGAATGAATTGTGTGGAAATTAATAATTCTCATGTGAAGCAGAATGACTGACTGCTTATCAAATGTCTCCACTGAAAAAGCAGCACACTCTTCTGAAGTTTTAGGCTAGTCATTGCGGTATGAAAAGCAATGATCTGTAAAGGCATACAGTGCCATCTGCTGTAAAGTTTTTATTTATAATTTCTAGATTCATCGTGGGTTCACGAGTGCATAATTTGTATATCCACAAAATAAACTTCGCTATTATTTTCTAAAAAAAAAAAAAAAAAAATAAATAAATAAAAAATACTGATATCTAGGTCGTTGAGCAATTGAAAGTTATGAAAGCCCCTTGAATCTACAAGTCATTTGAACCGAAACTGCTTTTTATGTATTACAATGGCGCTCTCTAGCGATGTAAAATGAACATTAAAGTACATTTTCAGAGGATATTTTTGAGAGGGTCTGGATCAGGATGCAGACCTGGTACAGTGCAATCTGAGCTGCATCCAATGCTTTTTAATGGGCTCGCCTAACCTCATCCCTAACCCTACCCGTCACAGTGGCGTCACTAGCTCCAGTGAGTGCAATTGTGTCTGACATTGCATCACTGAGTGATGCAGTGTCAGTTTGTATCATAAAGGCTGCATCCAGATATTATTGGCATTTTAAATAACCTGTTACGTTATATAGCTGCACTTCACACAAAATGTTTACAAACAAATCACAAGAATTGCATTTTTAAATTAACACGAAAAAGGGTGCCGATCATTTTCCCTCTGTCATAGTTTGTATACGATTGTATTTCTTTTTTTCCCCATGTTATAACATTACGTGTTAATATTAATATTTACAAAAACTTCAATAAATAAATTGATAAAATGTATTTAGTTGTATTTATGTATTTAGACATAAAAAGGGAAATGTAAATATTACTTAACGTTCATTTTTAAATAAACTTATCCACTGGGTGGCAGCACACCAAGAGTTAATGACAATATCTGCCATGTATTCTAACCTATATTTTACAGTCTATGATTCTAACTCCATAAGCAAAATTTATGATCTGCTGTTTTGTTTATCCTGTCCTGCTAACTTAGACTAATGTTAATAGACACTTGTCTGGGATAACACAACAATTGGCATCTGTTTGTGCAATGTCAACGCAATGTAAAATATTTAAACAAGCTGTACATTGTTTAAATACCATTAATCCACAGATTGTTGAGTACCCCTCATAAAACACTTTATAAAATAGACTATATATTTTTTATTCATTACCATCTTCAATATATTCAGTGGCATTCACCTGTTCTTTCTCACAAAAATGGTAGGTGTCTCTAATTGTATAATATCAGAACCAAAATGTAATCTACATTTTTATTAAATCAGACATGTACAATCTGAGACTATAGAATCGTTTAAAATGAAAAAAAATCTGCTAATTGAAAAATACGAAGATTTAGGGTTACATTTCTCTCATTCACAGTTCACATGTTAGCCTTTTTAAACTAAAAATAAAAAATAAAAAGAGAAATAAAGGTGCGTGTAAAGTCGTCCCTAAATCAGAGAGTGGTTGTCGTTATATCATGGCGTTTAAAAACCTATAAATGTCCTATAAATTACTCACCGGCATTTTGCTGGGAGTGCTGGTAAAAGCTCAAAGGGTAAGAGCACTTTATAGTGTTTGGAACGATGGCTCTATAAATTATTAATTTTGCAAGCAGCTTTATTTTTATACATGGCAACATTTGGAGGAAGTGTACGCAAACACGTGGCAATAAGTAAGTAGAATGGCTGGTAAAACTACTCAACAAAGTCCAAAAGTAGGCGGGGCTTAACACATATGGGGCCCTAACTGTGAAGATGTGGTACAAACCATTTCAGTGTGGTCATGTCACTGCCCCATGAACTATTCTGCTTGTTATCAAACTATTTCATAACTGTAACAAGATTCAATTATTCTATATTATAATTAATATTAATTATATTATTCATAACTGTAACAATTCAATTATAACTTAATGTTAAAACGGCTATCATAACATTATTTAGCTCTTTTATTCTCAAAAGCTATAGAAATAAAAAAATGTAAAACAGGAAATACCCTGGGACCATTGTTTTTGTTTACATCCCTTAAAATGATCTATAAACACTATATTAATATTTAAACTTTTAAGCTAGTATTAACTAGGCTCTTGTCTTTCATACTAAATGTCAAGTTTGAAATATTATCTAAATAGCTTTTTCATAAACTCTGTCATTGCTAGGATGAGCCGACCATGTGGTTTTTGGTTTGTTAGTGTCAGTTGTCAGAGTCTTTTTCTGTTTAAAGGTCTGACAGCAGTCTTAATGTGTATAACTATAATCCATGTGTAAAGTTGCTGACAAAAAAGAGGCAAGATGTATTGTTGGCCAAATATACAATTAAAAATTACAAACGTGGTTTAGATTCTAAAAAGAAATGCAAGGTTCCACCAAATTAATTTATGTTGTCCCAACACAAATCGACTAAGTTAACATAACAAATTTAAGTACATTGAACATAAAACAATAAAGTTGTACAAAAGAACTGTAAGAATTGTGTTGTTTCAGATCGTTTTAAATAAATGTTTTGACCGAGCAGCAAAAAATCTCCTTTTTATGAGTGAAGAGAGCATATTAAATACAAGTCCCATTCAATTCATTCATTCATTCCTTTTCCTTTGGCTTAGTCCCTTTATTCATCAGTGGTTGCGGAATACACCGCCAACTATTCCAACATATGTTTTACGCAGCAGATTCCCTTTAAGCCACAACCCAGAACTGGGAAACACCCATACACTTTCGCATTCACACACACGCATACACTACAGCCAATTTTGTTTAACCGGTTTACCTATAGCGGCTGTCTTTGGACTGTTGGGAAACCCAGAGAAAACCCATATAAACACAAAACATTAAAATGCCAACTGGCCGAGCCAGGACTCGAACCAGGAACCTTCTTGCTGTGAGGCAACCACTGAGCCACCGTGCTGCCCTCAGTTCAAATTAACATATGTGAAAGCAAAATGTTCACATGGTTTATTCATGGTTCATCATAATTTGGTGTAACATAGTTGGGGTAATACTAAAATGACATACTTCTGACCCATATTTACTAAAAAGCATGACATAATAAATAATAACATTTTATTTTAAATGATTGTTTGCTGGTAAAACCTATGGTTGAAAGATAATGCCAATGCTTATGACATAAACTGTTTTTACTTTTAATAGCATTTTAGCTGGTAGCTTCTGTAAATCATAATAAAATGTAAAGTAGTAAAGTTTTAAATTTGGTTTGCTTTTTCATCATTGATTCTTTTTAAATAAGAGTTTTGAGTTGAGATTTTTCAGTAGGTGAGATGACAAACACATTTTGATCAGTTTAGTGTGAAGCTGATGTGTTGTTCTGGCATTCGAGAATTAAACACTACTGACGATTACATTCAAACACAAAACGCCCTGAGATTTGAGTGCAACTTAATAAAAGAATATTTTTTCTGAGCCCCCACACGCCACCTACAGGAAAAAGAGTTTGGTCACACGCCGCTTTCAAGCCACGTTTTCCATTCCATGTTGAAAAGTACCAGTCACGTGATCATGAAAGCAGGAAGCATAGCCACATCCACAGCAGCAGCGGAGTGAAACTGCAGACAGGTCGACCTGAACGTCCGAACGACAACTCAAAATAGACAAATTAGACACCATGTTTTGGAGACTTTTCGCCGTGACATTATTACTAGCCCTATTGGGATCTATGACAAGCCAGCAGTTTTCGGCGGGTGAGTAAATTTACCTATAATGTAACAGTGATCCCGCGTGTCCTGTTGTCACAACGCAAAACCAAAACACTGCCCATCACGCCATCGGTTACACCTTAACTGTGATTTTAATTAGGAGCGGTTGCGATTCTGGTTGCATTAACGATTCTTTTGCTACTTTTGAGCGGTAGATATTATGTAATGGTTCGGGTTTTATTGCATCAACTGTGCTGAACACTGTTGCCAAATGACGAGGTCATTTGAGATTTCAACACAGCGGATTAAACATTTCAGAAATAAAATAAGAAGTCAATCACACTATAATCTCACTGCATAGATCAGAGTCTATTCAAAAGAGTTGTTTGTTCAGAAATTGACTTATGTTATGCACGTATTTGAATCGCGAAAAGAATCGACTCTTAAGAGTCAGCTGTTAGAAAACGTCGTAATACTGCTGTTTTAAATTAAGTAAGGAAATATATACGTTCTCAGACCGCCAATGGAGTTAAAACATCAGTTGGCGATTTTTAAAGCATCGTTCTTGATTCTCAACCACAGCTTTAATGAAACATTGTTATATGCGGTTGGTGCACTTTGGCCTCGTTCCGCAAGTTACTGCCTTTTGTGACATGTTTACAGTTTTTGTTGCCTATTTTACACAATACCCACATCAAAATGGGGTAGTTTTCCCCAATAACTGATTATACAATCACTTATCTGTCACGCAAAACGAACGCTTTCGTCTTGTTGTTATGTAATCAAACACATCAGGCGTTCTAGTTTGCTGTCTTGTGGCTTTGCTCCCATTTACATTTACTGCGTTCTGAAGATCTATATTTATCCAGAGTGTCACATGTTGGGCTGTAAAGTAAATAAGATTGCCATCTTTGCCACACAAAGGCACTGGGCATTAATGGTCATTTTTGGCCTGCTTGTTACCATGAAAACTTTTATTTTTTTCCTCCAGTTATTGGTAAAGTCTGGACAGAATACAGCTGCGGATATGCACATCAATATAGCTTCATTTTTGTAACACTGTATAATAATAATTAATATTTTTACAGTACTGTGATGGTTGGGTTTAGGGTTGGGGTGGGGGTATGCGTTAATAATAAAATACAATTTACTGGGTAATTTAATAAATAAATAAAATACAATTTACTGGGTAAATTAATAAATAGGACTCGGTACAACTACTGTTTTTACATTACTGTGATGGTTGGGTTTAGGGTTAGGGTGGGGGTAGACATTAATAAAATACAATAAATGGAAAATTTAATAAATAATTCTTGTTAACTTCCGGCCACAACTGTATCTGATCTAGCAACAACCTTAATCTGTGGTTGTGTTTGCTCAAAAACGCGATCTTGTAAAGTTTAATCAAGCTTGCCTTCATCTTTTTAACAAATTTCCCACATCTCACATCATTGGATTTGTTTAGTGATCTGTTACATGAATGTGCATCACAGTAGGGCTGAGTGATTTGACCTATAATCAAAATCTTGATTAATTGAACATATTAACTGGATTACGATAAATGAATGATTATTTTATTTATTTATGTTTTTGCCCTCATAGTTCACTGACAAGTTTTGTACAGTAAATATGCTCACATATTGCAAGTGAGATTTTTGAATGTGGGTTGCGTTACTTGATTTTAAAATAATTGAAGTAAACGCACACTATCTACTATCTAGGATTATCTATTGATTCTGAATGTCGATTTTGATTACTTTTTGATTAATTGCCTAGCCCTACATCACAATACTTCAGTTACGTTACAACTGTAAATGGAAAATTCACCTAAAAATAAAAATCTTTAGCTATTAGTTATTTCCCCTACACTTATTTGAGAAACCTGTTTGAGTTTCTTTTTTTGTTGTTGTTTCTTTAAAGACATGTTTGAAGAATGTTGGAAACTGATAGCCATGGACATGCATTGTATTTCTTTCGGTGTGTCTACTGGTTTCCAACATTCTTCAATTGGTCCTCTTTTTGTGTTTTTAAAGAAAAAAATATCCTAAATGTTTGGAACTACTCTAAGTAAATACATTTTCATGTTTTGGGTGAGCTGTGCCTTTAAGGACATCGCTAGGTTTTTAAACAACCTTGGATTGTGTGTTTTGCCAGAGACATCAGATCATGTTCACTTGGTCACAAGACTCATTGGTAATTTTCCAAGCTTTTTTGTTTTTCAGTTCAGCTGTTTCACATCTACAATATTCAAAATTAATCATAACAATTCACAAGCAGAGAAGATTCCAGATTGGCATATTGTGGGCACAGCTCTGTTATCTTTAACCTAGAGTCTTGGAGAATGTTTACAGTTTTGTGGTTACTGAGTGTTCCTTGTTTCAGGTTTAAAGGTCAAGAGATAAGAATGACACAAACGCTCTGGAAGCAAATATAGGTCAATGATGCAGGAAAACTACATTCGAAATGATATCGCCAATGCTTTTGAATATTACATGCTTGTTGGAATATTTTTTTATTCATGTGACATTCATTTTTTTCAGATGAAGTTTGTAGCACGTTCCATGGCTGTGATGCATGTGAAAATGTGACTCTCTGCCAATGGATGAACTGCACAGGTCAGTCCCTCCTCCATGTCAAATTCAAAGCTCATATGACAACAATCAACTGGTTTAGAACAGCATAATTGGAGACAAGAGGCCGTTTAACTAAGGTTTGGTATATATGATAAATGATAATTATGAAAATCAGAACTATTCCACCAATTGTTGAATAATTAACTGCTCTGAAATTAAAATATTGCTATTATGTTGTAAAAACAATCAATTTAATATTTTGTTATTTTGTGCAGTTCGAAATGACAACAATTTGTTAAATTTGGAAGATGAGTCACCATATTTACAAAACAAAATAAAAAAAATACTCAACACAACTATAAATTGAAAATGTAAAACAAATAGTTTTTTTGTTAATTTTATTATAGCTTTCATGTAAGTAAAAAAGCAATAATGCAAGTAAAAATGATAATAATCAAAGTATATGGTGGAATAATGTTCTATCATAATTTAGTGTAACGCATATACTTATTTACAAAATAAAGCTGACCTATAATAAAATGCAAAAAAGTTAACTATCATTTTTAGGGGTGTCACGATTTCGATTTTTAATCGAAATCGATCGAAATTTATGCTCAATTTCGATTATCGAATCAAAAAATAGAATCGTCGATGCTACCACGCCCCATGTCACGTCAGCTTGGCTTGCCAAACGGGAAAAAAAACAGCTTGTTGAAGTGCTTGTTAAACTGCAGAAGCAGGAGACCGCAGACAGAGCTTAAACCCTCTCCTCTTTCAATGAAGTCACCGGTGTAAGCATTTTGGATTTCCAGTTAGTTATGTTGACAACGTTCGTGTAGTCGACAAAAAAAAACACAGTTTTGCAAGCTCTGCTATGTACGTATTACGTACGGTTCGTCCGATAGACAACAACGGCATCGCGATCCTCCGCCCACCCCCGTTGCAAATCCGCTCGCGGAAAATGCCAATCACGTGACCACACAGACACAGACGCATACACAGCCATGCGCTCGAGACAGCAGGTCCAGGCAGTCAGAGGACTGCTTCAATCTTTCACTCACTTGTACTTAGTCATTTTAGCGAACACCTCAGATACTGTTGGCTGGTTCCTGTTGGTTGTGCGTCTTTTTTACCGACGCCATTATAACGACACAGATCACTGCCTATTCACGAGTCCCACAGAAAAAGTGATTGACAGGTGGTAATTATGTGTGTATCTTTCCTTTATTAATTTACTGTATGATTTGTTTATGGGTAAAACAAAGACCATCCAGGTCAGGTAGTTTAAACGGTAGGCTACAAATAATTAATTGGTCATTAATTAATTAATTAATTATTCATAATCGAAAATCGAATCGAATCGTGCCTTTAGAATCGAAAATGTAATCGAATCGAGGATTTGGAGGATCGTGACACCCTTAATCATTTTATATTTATAGTGTTTTAAAGGATAATGGGTGCCAATGGCGTAGTGGTTAGTGCGTCGACACATGCACTCAAGTGCTCATGGCAGCCCGAGTTCGATTCCTGCCTCGAGGAATCCTTTCCCTCTCTCTGCTTCCCACTTTCCTGTTAATACTCTCTTCTGTCCTGTTTATTAAAAGGTGAAAAAACCCAGAAGAAGAAAAAAATATTATAAAAAAACAAAACAAACATGTCATTACACATGTACAAGGCAACGATGCAGTTTAGGACTAACAGTGCAATAACAGCAAGTGCAGGATATAAGTTATGAAGTACAATTATAGAAAAGCTATGGGTGGTAATATTTACAGATGGATGTACTATGAACATTATATAAAGGTTGTATTAACTATGAACAGAGATTTACAATTGATCAATATATCTACAGGTTGCTTTTAATAATCAGAAATGCGAAGATAGTAGGGTTGCACGGTTTACTGGTTCTATGGTAGTATCGTGGTACTATGGCTCCAAAATACTGGTCGTGCCACTGTAGTTTGTAAACTGTAGTCTCGTCATTAATGGTTTATCTACAAAAGATAATGTTGCATGTGGAAAAGTCACCAAAAAGCTCAGAAGTTTGTGCACCAATAAACCATTTTATTTAAATAGTCTGTGGAGCCCTTTAAGGTTGCGAAACTGTAGAATTTACGGCTTTTATGGTAGCCTAGTGCACATTGCCCATTGATATTTTCAAATGCTTTAGTTCCAGTGCACATCTGAATCAGATTATTTCTGTTCCTGTTAATATGATTTATTAGCAACTGCGACAATCTCTTAAAAAAACAACTTACAAAGTGAAATTTTAAATTACTTTGGATTTTTACCTGAGAAGTAATGAAAAACCCAAAATAGCAGCAGGAAACAATCATATATTTTATTTTCGGCTTAGTCGATTTATTAATCTGGGGTCGCCACATCGGAATGAACCGCCAACTCATCCAGCACATGTTTTACGCAGCGGATGACCTTCCAGCCGTAACCCATCACTTGGGAACATCCACACACACTCATTGACCACATACACTACGGACAATTTAGCCTACTCATTTCACATATAACCCATGTCTTTGGACTTTTGGAGGAAACAGAAACAGCAACTGACCCAGCCGAGGCTCGAACAAGCTACGAACGTGCTACCCACTGCACCACCGCGTCGCCACAGCAGGAAACATAATGTTTGACCACTTTATATAGCATAATTTTGTTGTGAAAATGCTCTTTTGTAACAAATTTCAGTTGGGATAATTTGTATCTTTATTTTAATGTATTTTTTCTTTGTCAGTCATCTACAAAGTAAACAAAAAGAATGAATACATTTTAGGTGAAGTGATGTGCAAATGAATTGCATTCAAGTAGGTCTATAGTAGGGGCTATAAGGGAGGCCAAAAGAATCCGAGTCAGTTTTGCGGAAAAAGTTGTTCCTCAGTCTGCTTGTTTTTGTCTGTTGTACAAAATGACATTTTAGTGGCTATCTTCTATAAATTATGCTGAAAATGTATGATAGTTATTTTTTGGTTACAAAAAGACAAACCACATTTGCAGTATTGCAATTTTTAGTTTTTTTTTATTATTTTTTACTTTTTGGCGATGCTTTGACTAAAATAATATGGAGGTTTTGTGTTAAAAATGTTCTCAAAGTAAGATGACTCAACGCAAACTTTAATCAATTTGGTATGAAGAACCCATTCTTCACCTGACTTAGTCACAGTGAATGGTTTGTCTACACATAGTACCCGTTTCATTAATGGTATGTGTAGGTAAATGGATTTGGCCTCTGGGTAGCATGTGATTTTTGAGTTTGCATCATTTTAGTGGAAATCCTGTTTCTCAGATTATATTTGTAGATTTGTCTCTCTGGTCAGCTCTAGGTCTGTCTATTTGTAAAATTAATTGGCTAAATTAACATGATCAGTTAGTAGATTTTTCTCTCTGGTCAGCTCTTAAGTTACATGTAAACGCGGATACTGTAACTGTGGATAGTGTATAATGTGGTGTACTAATATTAGATGGGATTGTGTGTTTGTGTTTCATTCTGTGCTTAATGGTGGTTTTGGTCAGTATGAGCCTCAAGTAACTGCCCTTTTATCCCTGGAGTCCTTCTCCATGCCTCTTTGCTAATGGATGACGTGAAATGAATCAGAGAGAGTAAACATACTAATGAAACGCACACACTGTTGCTATGGCACTCAAGGCTCTTCAGGAAAAAAAAAACACAGTAAAGTAAGCAGAAAGAAGTGGCTGTATCATGGATGAAAGGAGAGGAATATTCAAATTATAAGAATGAATGAATACTAATGCAGTATATTTAATGTCATTTCAAAACTAAATACAAACAAAAAAGCAATAGCATTGAATAAAAAAAGTAAAAAAAAATAAATGAAATCTTCTTTATTTGTTTTACAATTCAATATATCTAAACCATCAAGACACATGCAATGCAAAATAAGTCTTGTTTATAGAGATATGTAGTTAATTTGAATTAAGATTTTCTGAGCACACTGACACACATTTGTAGTTTTAATTATGAACTCAGTTTACCAGTTCATTTACTGAAATGAAAGCTTACCTTGTGTTATTTGTCTTCTCAAGTAAATGTATCTCAGAATAAAAAGACATTTGGCCTAGAAAATGAGAAAAATACTGAGGAAGCATGTCACCTTTTTGCATCAATTTTAGAAGGCTCAGTAAAAGTCAATTCCATGTTTTGGAGTTAAATTTTCTCAATTGTTTTCTGTATGAAATGAATAAAACTATAAAGATTGGTACAGAGTTGTATATTCAAACGTTTTTGCTGATTCTAGCTTTTCAATGCTTGTATACAGTTGAAGTAAGAATTATTGGCCACTTTTTGAGTTTTTTTTTTTTTTTTTATTATTTCCCAAATGATGTTTAACAGATTCAGGAATTGTTTACAGTATGTCTGATAATATATTGTCTTCTGGAGAAAGTCTTATTTGTTTAGTTTTGGCTAAAATAAAATAAGTTTTTTATTTTTTTTTAAACCATTTTAATGTCAAGATTATTAGTCCCTTTAAGCCTATTTTTTTCCCGATAGTCTACAGTACAAACCATCGTTACACAATCACTTACCTAATTACCCTAACCTACCTTGTTAAGCCTATAAATGTCACTTTAAGCTGTATAGGGGAAAAATATCAAGAAATATCTAGTAAAACATCATGGCAAAGATAAAATAAATCAGTTATTAGAAATGAGTAAATCTAGTTTAAGTTAATTGTTCATGTTTGTTTTTGTGTTATTTAATATTTTTGTATTATTTTTAAACGATGTAATTTAGATCTTTTTCACCCAGAAAAGGACAAGGGTTAATTTTTTTTTAACATTTAAAGCCAGGATATTTAAAACATTGTTACTGTGTGAATATATATATATATATCAAATGTTTCCCAGATGATGTTTAACAGAGCAAGGGATTTTCCACAGTATTTTTCTAATGTTTTTTCATCTGGAGAAAGTTATTTTAACTTATTTTGTTTTAAGGTCAGTATTATTAGCCTGCTTAATCAGTTTTTTTTTATTGTCTACAGAACAAACCACTGTTATACAATGACTTG